AAAAACTGGAAGTACGAAAGGACGATCAGCCATTGACAAAGTTGAATGTTAAGAGACTTACATAAGAACGCTAGAAATTCTGATATCTAAAAATAAGATATAATTTTGGTAACAAAATATTAAAAAACATTATAATTTCAAGTAAAAATTACTAAACCTTATAAAACTCTTGAAAACCAACAGCAAGCGATCTTTCTAAACAATGGTTCACTCGTCAGCAACTGTAAATAAATATCAAACTATTATGAACAATGTCATATTCCATAACTATATTTCAAACTCATCAAAACAAAACTACAACTTCTTTTCCGAAACAATGGCACATTCTTCAGCAACTATCTTTCAAACACTTCACTCACCTCATGAAACTCCATAAGACTCTATTAAAGCTTAAATTTAAAACTTATCAAACGCAACTCAATACCGCAACCGAATGTTTCTATATTAAATTTAACTATTAAATTATTATAATAAATTAAATTAATATTAAATTAAAAACTAAATTTAAACTAAACTTAAAACAAAATCATAAACAACTAAAACTTGAGCTTTTCAGTCTGTATTTATAGGCTTCTTACCATTCATTCTCATCAGCGTATATGCCAAGTCATTACTTAAATAATGAAAAACTATGAATACATATTTTAAGACCTCCTTTTAACGCTGATTGGTTTGAAACGAAAAATCACGCCATAATGCTGTTAGTTTGTAGGAAGTATACAATTTTTGACAATCCTTCTTTAAAACGTGTTTACAAATTGTAGTTCACTAAAAAATCACGCCACGCTCTACAGTTCAACGCTTTAAATTTGTCAAACTCTTTAAATGGACACAGAGGCTGAATTTCGACACGTTGATATTCCAAATACTTTAGAGACTATGGCAAACTCAGCAACAGTTTGACAACTTGATGACAGCCGCTACTACAGGAAGCTAGAAGATGGATTAAGGTTAGTAAACATTGATTATATTTCGAATAGGTTACACAGGGCGTACCGCGAGGGGGAGATTTCCGACAACACGCTCAGGAAGCTGCTGCCAGACCCGGACTGTAGACCCAGGAGGTTCTACACGCTGCCAAAGATTCACAAGGCCGTGAATAGGTGGCTTAACGTTGGTTGCCCACCTGGCAGACCGATTGTGTCCGACGTGGGTTCGGAGAGCTATAAAATTGCTGAATTTATAGACTCTAACCTTAGGGGATGTTGCAGCGACCTGACCCACGTTCTGATGAACTCGCAGCAACTGGTGGACAAGCTAAGATTCCGCCCGATCGCGTACGAGGATGCCTTCATCACTGGTGACATCGCATCCTTGTATACCAACATCGACCTTAAGAGAGCGATGGCAGTAGTAAGAAGAGAATTGAAGAAGAGGAGGGTTCCCCATCGACCGGACAACTTGATTCTTGATCTGTTAAATTTTACATTGTATAATAGTGATTTTTTATTTAAGGGTATATTTTATTTACAGGTTATGGGGGTGGCTATGGGAAGAGCTTATGCCCCGACCATAGCTAACCTTTATTTAAGGAATTTTGATGAGATTATCACGGGCCGGTTCAGTCCTATTCATTATTATCGTTACCTGGATGACATTTTTTTATGTGTGAATGGTGAGTTTAAATATGATGAATTTTGTAAAAGGGTGAATGAAGTGATGGATAATATTATTATTGAATGTTGTATGAATAGCAGGATTATTGACTACCTTGATATCTCCATTTATAAGTTTTTGATCAACGATAAATTGAGGATGCATACCTGTGTCCATCTGAAGGACACAGACAACCTGGCATTACTGCACCATAATTCCTGCCACCCCAAACATGTGATGAGGGGAATTATTAGGTCGCAATTTATCAGATATTTTAGGTTATGCAGTGAATTTCAATCCTTTTGGTATATGGCACGCATGTTGATGGATGTGTTGATGGATAGAGGGTATGGATATAAAGAGATGAAGAAGATATTAAGGGAGGTAGTTAGGGAGTATGATGTGCATGAGTGGTTTAAGAAATATAACGCGAAGGATAATGGGATGAATGAAGGGACTAATGTTAGTATGAATGACACTTTGGGCATTGGGTTGAACAATATTTATGATGAAGATAGAGGGAAGGAAATGATTATTCCTATCCCTTTCTCGAATGGGCTGAATTCTTTTAAAAGTAAAATTATTGAATTTTTTAAAGTAAATAAAAAGGATACTAGGGTAAGATGTGTCAACACAAGTAAGACTCCCTTGGGTCGTTTGGTATTCCGTGATTAGGGTCTGTGTTCACATATACTATACTGGCCCCAACCCTGACCCTGACCCTAAACCCGGTTTATGGTTTTGATACGGTGACGGGTACAAGGGTGTAGTTGTTGGTAGGGGTGGTTAATATATATTGTAATATTGTTTGGAGGGGAACTGGGACGATAATTGGATTGGTATGTTGTGAGTGATAATCTAGGTGATATGTTGTATGATAGATGGCGTGAATTTGAAATATTTATGGTTTTCTGGAGTAGTTTGAATGTGGTTGTGGATACTACCGTTTGGGTCTATCGAATATTTGAATTATTGGATTAGTTTTCTTTTTTGGTTTTCCGTGAGATGGGTGAGGGATTTTGTGATGGGACTTGTCTGTATGGTTTGATTACGATATGGGGGACGCACCTACCGTTTGGGAATTTTGAATTTTGAATGTTTGATTGGACCGTAGTGTGTTTGGGATTGTGAATGGTGTGTTTGGGTATCGCAGGACAGGGATGATAGGATGATGATATGTACGTTTAATAACTGTTTCTATGGGTTCCGGTGGTGTGGATCCATAAGCTTGGTGTTGTCGTCCTTTGATTATGTTGTTGCTATAAATGTGTTGTTTTTGGGATGTTTGGGCATTGCCTTTCCGGGGTGGTGCTTATCCGGTTTGTCTGAATTCTACTGGGTTTGTGCATTGTTGCGGGTGTTCGGTCGATTTAGTATGTGCGTAATAATTTGGAGATTATTTTTATTTTATAGATAGCGTATTTGTGGGGTTGCCGGTTCTGTTTATTTATTTTCTATTTGTTTATTTATTGGTCTATGTGTTTAATGTACTGGACCTATTGGTGTTTGTATGGATGTTGTAGCATCCCGTTGGGATATATGTCGTTATTGATTGGATTGGATTTTCTTATATATAATTTGGGGGAACGTATTGGAATACATTGTATGATTTTGGGGTACATGATATTTTGTATGGTGTATGGCATAGGTATTTATAATGTTGGGTATATAATTACGTTGGAGTTTTCCCTAATTGTCTCTGGTCAGGTATATGTATGGTATGTCTGAACAAAATAGTTTGTTATATATTTGGGGTTGATTATTTGTAACGAATGGGGTTGATAAACTTGATATGGGCTCAACTTTAATATATTACATTGTTTATTTCATTTCTTTTGGGTAATGCTGTTGTGGATGACGTGTTTTGGATAATTTTTATGCAATTTCTATTGATATGGGGTGTATTGTAAATAGACTGGCGTATTTCTATAATTAAATGGGTTTCACATTATTGTATTACATGGTTTGTTTCATTTCTTATGTATATTTCTACTGTAGATGGCGTATTTTTAGCGTTTATTATAGATTTGGGTATATTATATTATATATGGACTGTTGATCCTATATATTTGGGTGGTAGGAAAAAACATCACCCGGATAAAAGTTCACCTGCTAAAAATGCAGAGAAAAAACATCACCCGGATAAAAAATCACCCGGATAAAAAATCACCCGGATAAAACATCACCCGGATAAAACATCACCTGAATAATACATGACAAAATTTAATATAAAATATAAAACTTTTACAATCGATGACAAGCGTCTCCAATTTATATTCTATTTAAAAATTTAAAAACTTTTTTTAAATAGAATTATTTGCTGCGCACAATAATTTGGTGCACTAATTACCGCCTTGAAGTCGTTTGATTGGCTGTAGGATTTGTCTGCTTTTGTTAAAATAGTCTCAAAAATTTGTTTGGTTTTGCAGCAAATGTAGAACTTTGCTATTGAATTTCCCATTGAATTTGTTTAATTTAGACAAGTTTGATGAGTGGGTATTGTAGACATTTCAATAAGCTATCAGATAAATATCATAACTCATTTTTGGCAAAAAAAATGTGTCTGGTTTTGTAATATAGCTCCTCATTTATACTAATTTAACTGTTATCATGGAATTTATTAGAAACAACAAAGGTGGTTTGCAACTTTGCTATAATGGGTACGCCTTCAACAAAAAAAATAACAAAAAAACAACAGTAAGATGGCTATGCAGCAAACATAGTTCATTGAAATGCAATGGATCGGTTGTCACAAACTTAGAAGTGAGTAAATCTTTATTTTATTTAAATTGTAAAAATTACAAATATAAGTTAATTAAACTTAGTAATTAACAATATTAACTACCTTTATTTCAATAAATGTTTTCATATTTTTCTATGTTACAAGATAATAAAGACCTCATAAATAAATGTATTTTATGGTGTTGTTTGTAATGCGTTTTTATCAATATTGTTCTGTTTTGTAGATGAATGCAGTATTAAGTGTCACACCTCATACACATCCATCGAGTGAATCAGAAATTGAAAAACTCAAAGTAATCAACAGGATGAAACAAGCTGCATGTTTAGTGTCAACGTCGAAACCAACACACGTATACGCATCAGAATTGGTCAGCATGAATGAAGATGTCAAAAGAAAATTAACTTCAAAAGACCACATGACAAGGAGACTTAGATATCAAAAAAGAAAACATTTTCCAAAAGAACCTGAATCTGCGACAGATTTGAATATTCCGGACGATTTTAAAACAATTAGTAGCACAAGTGACACGCCGTTCCTCATGTACGATAATGGAATAAATTCAGAAAATCGTTTGATTTTGTATTCATGTTTGAACCAGCTAACGATTCTTTCAACTCATTCAAGGTATATAACTACCGATATAACTATATGTTGCTAG